ATTGGGTGGAGCACATTCGGCAAGCATTCTCAAACTATGACAGGTAGATTGCCACTATACCTCAAGAGGAAGGTATATAACAGCTGTATCTTGCTGGTACTTAGCTACGGAGCTGAAACCTGGAGACTTACAAAGAGGGTTCAGCTTAAATTGAGGACGGCGCAGCGAGCAATGGAAAGAAAAATGGTAAGTGTAACCTCAAGAGACAAGAAGAGAGCAGAGTGGAATAGGGAACAAACGAGGGTTAAGGATATCATAGTTGAAATCAAGAGGAAGTGGACATGGGCTGGGCATGTAGTGCGTAGACAGGAAAACCGCTGGTCATTATGGGTAACTAACTGGATTCCCAGAGAAAGCAAGCACGTTAGGTGGAGACAGAAGGTTGGGTGGGCAGATGAGATTAAGAAGTTTGCGGGTATAAATTGGCAGCAGCAAGCACAGGACCGGTTTAACTGGCGGAACATGGGAGAGGCCTTTGTCCTGCAGTGGACGTAGTCAGGGTGATGATGATGATGATGATGATGATGATGATGATGAATGACACATATGTGCGGCCGCCAAGGTAGCGCAATAATTCGCAGTGGATGTTATATAACACTCCAAACAACATGTAAGAAGTACGTGTTAAAGCCTGTTCACACCAAGTAGCAAGCTAGAGTAAAGCGTTAGGTGTGCCAGATCAGAATAAGTGAGAAAGTGGGAGGGACAGGAAGAGTCCTAAGTGCGCTTGGGGGTAAAGAAATAAAGATGATGAAATAAAATTGGGAGCCCAGTTTAGTGCAGCGTAAAAGTAACACCACGGAAAACATACATACGTTATAGAATGTGCTTAGGGCGGCTCGTAACCCAAATACTCAAGTGGGGACTAAGTGGGAGGATGAAGTGGGGAAATATGGAACGTCTTTAGAGCCGGTAGTTACACATGACGTTTTATAGAGTTGCAGCGAACTTAGGCAGCATCAGATACGTACACCCAGCCTCATGCGTATAGCGTAGACCTCCGTAGAAGGCGTTCTGGAATGTCTGGCTGGTAAGCGGATCATGCGGGGTCGGAGGCTTATCCTGATCTTTTCTTCCTGCTGATCGAGTGCTTCGATGCTCTCGGACAACAGAATTGCTCTCTGAGCAGAATGGTATGGTGGCGTATATACTTGGTCTTCGGCAACGAGTAGTGCGAAAAGCAGAGACCTTTCTTTCCTTTTTTTTTTGATCTCGGTTTCTTTTAGAGAACAGCAGCAGTTGGTTTCTGTTTCGTAACACTATATGTCCGTAAGACAGCGTTAACCTCGTTTTTTTTTGTTCCTGGAGAGTGCTTAAGTCCAGCGTGCCGAGTAGGATAAAAAAAAATGGCAGCATATCCACGGAGTGAATGATGGAGAGTGGGGCGAAGAATTCGTCCGTCCATTCGTTCTTGCTTCCGTCCGTCCATGCGTCCGTCAGTGTGACCGTCCATGCGTCCATCAGCCCGTCCGTGCGTGCGTCTGTTCGTGCGTCCGTCCCTGCGTTCATCCATGCATCCGCCCGTGCCTCCTTTCATGCATCCATCCATGCATCTGTCTGTGTGTCCGTTCGTCCATCTATCTATTCAGCACTCCAAGTACCACCATCTCGCATCTTTTCATCATATATTCTCCATATAGAAGCACCGCCATCTAGCGGACATTTCAAGGACTAAACGGGAGGTGGCACATGCACACTTTCTTACGGCTTGCGCTTCGGGTTTACTTCCCACCTTTAACCACCTCGAGTTCATGGGATATACTAGTTCACTGTATTCATGGCTATGCGGCCCAACGCTCGCTAAATTTTTCTAAAACCAAGGAGGTTACACCCAGCGAGTATAACGTAGCAACCCTTTCTTGTCAGATAGTGCTCAATGTACCTGCCATTGGCTGCTAATGGTGATCGCAGCCTGCGCGTTAACTAAAAGCGGAATGCTCCTGTTTCTCATTCCCCATTAGCAGCCATTGACATGTACCTTGAGCACTATTTTTTATTGTTCAACAACGCACAGAAGAAGTCTCTCACCGGCACCACCTTGGAGGTCAAAATGTTATACTTGTTACATACTACGGGGGACGAATTGGTGTCGCTATAAGGAGTTTCCTCCATAAAACATAAAGCGAAAGGATCTAAGACTAACTGCGGCGGCTGTCGTTAGTGAGAAACATTTTAGTGATTGCTACATTCAGCGCTCCTTCAAATTACAGTCGATGGTGGGATCACAAAAATTCCCCATGAAGAACTCAAACTACAGATTTGTATCCTTCATTTTATTTGCAACTGTCGATTTCTTTTCACGGCCAAGATGATTTCTCGCTTAAACCGGCGTCGCCGACAACGGCATTTCTACGAAATGAGCTCTTTAATGCTGTTGCATTTATATTCATTATTTTTCTCGCACCACTTAGCATTGTCCGCATCGGTACCGGGTATTTCAATAAATGCGCCAAAAATCCTCAAAAATGAAAACAAATTCGTTATGTGCTGCAGCATGTTATGCCAGCGAGTCCTCGTCAAACGTCCGTGCCTCTGAAAAAGGCAATCTGGGTCAAGGCCAGCCCGCAGTCCGCCTGACGCAAACAACCCAACGGCGTGAACACGCGCGGCGCCTCTCTGGCCCACGTGCATTGAGTCAGCGGCGCACGTGACAGCGAGCCGGCGTCCTCGTGTCTGGTGGTCTGACGCATTGCGCGGCGACCCCATTGGAGGAATCTGCCCTGACGACCAGCGGCGCTTCTAATTGGACATTTTTGGTTGGACCCGGTGCCTATAAAAGAAGCCCTGCGGTGCGTCGCGAGCGGAGGTCCTATGAGAGAGGAGTCCCCATGTCGGAGAGCCGACATGTGTGTGAGTCGGCGGTCTTAGGCGAAAAGTTGACCTATGTGTTAGAGAGGAGAGCTCGGCTCTTCGAGTCACTGTCGGCCCCAGTGCCGAAATTGTAACGCCTCTGTATATATGCTGTACATAAACCTTGGTTAACTCACCGTCGTCTCGTCCGCTCGTCTTATCAGCTCTGCGCAGAAGCAGTCGCGAGCTGAGAAACATACGCTACCAAACGGCTGGTGACCTTCCCGGCGGAGTTGAAAGCAGTGGCGCCTTCGGGACCGTGTTGGCGTCCCCGTCTTTCGCAACAGTGGTGGCTTCGGCGGGATCGGTCCGTCTTTCGCAACAGTGGTGGCAGCGGTGGGATTGCGGAGGTGGCTTCGCAACAGTGGTTGGCAGCTGCGGGATCGGCCGGCGTCAGCGACATCGATGCGGTGAGTGCCTGATGTTTTCCCCTCAGTTCACCAGACTACTCTAGCTCAGGTTGTAGTAGTTTAGAGAAGGGCTGTGTGAAGCATTAGAGTGAGCTTTGATCGTTTCAAGCAAAGTCGAAGTGCTTTGAAACCAAAGTTAATGCGGAGGGGGTAAACACGGGAGAGTGAAAAATTGCTTGCGCGTCTTGCTAGTTGACTTATAGTGGGTACGGCAAGTAAATTGTTAACAGGGGCAAACAGCAAGAGGCTAGTGTGAACGATGGAGAACCTTAAAGTGAAGGAACTCATCGAAATTTGTGAGGAACTCGGCATTACTTTGGGCCGTGCGAAACGAAAGCAAGCGATCCTTGAGATCATGAAGGATGAGGGAGTGTCGGCTGAGGAAGTCGATGAGGCCTGGGTGGATATTAAAGCACGCCGTAAGGAGGCTGAAAGGCGAGAAGTAGAAGCTCGCGAAGAAGCTGAAAGGCGCGAAGCTCGCGAAGAAGCTGAAAGGCGCGAAGCTCGCGAACGTGAAGAAGCTGAAAGGCGCGAAGCTCACGAACGTGAAGAAGCTGAAAGGCGCGAACGTCGCGAGGAGGCCGAGAGACAGGAGCGTCTCGAGTTGAAACGACTAGAATTGGCAATCCTACAGTGTTCGCAGGCGCCTAGCGTAGCTTCTCCAACAGTTCAGGTCAGCGGTTTTAGAATTCGGGACCAACTGCCACCGTTCGTAGTAGGCGAGGACATGGCGAAGTATCTCGTCAAGTTTGAACACGTCTGTGAGCGAAACGCTTTGGAGCGGCCTCTTTGGGCGCGGAACCTGCTAGCTCTTCTTCCCGGCGAAGTGTCCGACGCGATAACTTGCTTGTCGAGGGAAGCGTTTGAGAGCTATGACGAGGTTAAGGAAGTGCTCTTGAGACGTTATAAGTTGTCACCCGAGGCTTTCAGGCAAAGGTTCCGGTATGCTAAAAAGGGGAATGAGTCACACGTTGACTTCGCGTATCGTCTTAAGGCCGATTTGATTGAATGGCTCAAGGGCGAAGGTGTGTATGACGACCGCGATAAAGTGGTGGAATGCGTTGCATTGGAGCAATTCTACCGCTGCATCGAGGAGGATGTCAAACTTTGGCTGCAGGACAGACTTGGGGAAGTACGATTAAACAAGGCAGCTGAGTTAGCTGAGGAGTATTATACTCGCCGAAAGTTGCATAGCAGGGCAGTGCGCGTTGAAAAGGATGAAAGGAAAGAGAGCTTTTCAAGGAAACCTGATCAACGGAAACCCGCTCCGCACCGTAATTTCAAAAAGGACCCGTCTCTTACGAAGGACACTGTAGAGGAAGGGAAAACAGAAGCGGAAAAATCGAGTGAGGTTTCTAAACAACGCACTGATACCACACGGGCGTTTGAATCACGGAAGCCACTAATCTGCTACAACTGCAAAAAGGAAGGGCACATCGCAATAAACTGTAAGCAAAAGTTTGCTTTTGCAACAATTAGAGAATCGGAAAAGAACATGCGGTTGTTGGAGCCGTATATCCAAGCAATTAGTGTGAATGGGAAAGCGTGTCGAGCACTTAAGCCGCGTTCACACTGAGCATTCCGGCCGCCGAAAGTGGTCCGAATCCGGTTAGGCGGCAGCGAGATCCGCCGAAAGGGCCCTCTCCGCGCCGATCGCTCCCGGACCGATTTTTCCGGCGTCTGCCGCCGAATCGGCTCGCCGCGAACCAATAGGGGGCGCTAGCCGAGGAACTCGAAGAAATGGCGGCCGAGAGCAACTCGCTTGTCATGTCGCAGTCGAGTAGCGTGCGGGTAGCTGAAATGCTCATCGAATTGGTTCGCAACCACCCGGTCCTGTACGATAAACGTCACCCGAAGCACAAGGACAGCTTGCTTAAGGACGACTTATGGGGGAAAATCGGAAGCGAGCTCGGAATGACTGGTAAGTACGAGTTTATGTGCCTATATTGCTTTGCTCCTTGTGCTGTGGAAGTACTCATGCTTCTCGTCCGCGTTGCAACGTACGTGGAAACGCACGCGTACTGGCCGTTTGATCGTGCTCTTCAGCGCGCTGTTTGATGTCAACAACGCAAATGCTAGACAGACATCGAGCCCACTGAACGATGGGCTCAGCGATGCAGGTACGCTGCAGGGGAGACAGCGCGGGCATTGTGCACGTCTGTTCACCATCCTGCTTGCCCTGCGTTGTATTCACGAATGCCGCATGAGTTGAATTTGATTTGACACCGAAAGGCAGCACGTTTGTGCTGGCTTGACGCATTGTAAAGGCGCATCATCTGAAGCACGTTTGTGCTGAATTGAACACGGTAGCAACCTAATTTAAGGTCTAGAAACGTTTCCCAATACGCTGCTTAGCTGGTTGAATAGGGCGAGTGTGGCTATACTTACCAAAAAGAAGTAATGAAAGCATAGGTGTTTTTCTAAAGCAGGTACACTCTGCAGCAGGTCCTCTCCTCCAGAAATAAAAATTTATCACTACGCGCAGGGTTAAAAATAGCGCGCATTTGAACGAGCGAGTCATACAGCTATGCATACTTAGATTGTCTTGTGCATTACGTGCTGCTCTTTCGTCCCGTAAATATATGCAAGCAACTTATTGTTTTGTGAACCTAGCGACATTCACCTTGTGTTGGTGTAAAATTTTCAAGGATGTGAAAAGCATGCCTAATACGTAAACTGAATTCTTCACAGGAATGCAAGCACATGCAAAATTCAAGAACTTAAAAGACACCTTCACGAAACACAAGAACAAAATTAAGGGCTCCATGAAAAGTGGTGCAGGGGCTGCAGATGTTCCCACCGTCAAATGGGTGCATTTCGAGGCAATGATGTCCTTGATGGGTCCCATACTCAAAGAACCAATGTAAGCCAAATTTTGTGATCCTTTTTATTTTTTATAAATCATTGTAATGAAAGTGTACACAACTTCAAAAAAAAAAGAACAACACAAAGACATACTTTTCTCCGGTATGCAGAACTGCCGGCCACAATTGCACATGCTAAAAAGAAAATCACAGTTTGTTTACTTGCACAACAAATCAAGAATTCATTAATGCCCCTACAACGAAATACGTCAGCTGAGAACAAATATTGCAGCCACGATGAGCTGATAGAACAGTAGATCACTACTGCATAAGATTCTGAGCTTAGTAGTTATGCTGTTTAGCAATTTTCAGAGTGACACATCAGTGAACACGTACACACAAAATGCAAAGCACAAAGTAAACGTTTCATGGTTACTGATGCACTGGCCTCACTGCTTGTTGATGTCAAATAAGCTTAACAAATAAATCAGCATACTTTTATTTACAAAATCATGAAGACTACAATGAGGAAGCAATTATACCAGATGACATTAACATATTCGATTAGTAAATAAAAAGAACACAGCGTACTGCATAACTTGCTCATCGAAATTTTTTAAGGCCTGATTGCTGTAGCATAACTAAAAAAATGTTAATGTTTTCCAGCATTTCTACAAACGTAGGATTCATCAATCCCGATCGGTAAGTTGTAAGACAGGTACCAAATTAACTTTGCCAGCAGGAAAATGCATGATAGTGCTAAGAAGATGATGAAAACAATTGCTATCACCTAAAAAGCCATTTTCTGCATGCCTACCAAAGACGCTAACAATCAAATGAACGCGTGAAGGAATGGATGTGGTAAAAGTGAACGTTGTGAGGTGCACTTTTTTATGAGTCAAGCAAATAGGGCTTGCAGTGCAAAAGCATGTTACCTGATAAAGTTAAAACCACTTGTGCATTCAGAAAATAAAGTTTAAGCAGTATCTCATCCCGTAATATTATCGTGCTTTTGCGACATTCACCAACAATAATTATTTCTCATTGATAAAATGTTACTTTCTCCACATCAGAAATGTTTCACGCGAGTTCATCTTTCCGACGTTTCACATAGAGCATCAGGTGAGCGGAGTCCGGCGCCTGCAAGTAATAGCAGCAGTGGCAACGCAGATGAGGGCCAGGTCGACTACGACAACTGTGTCACAGTCATCTTGGATGAGCCTCTAGAACAGCCTGCATCTTCGTCCGGTGCAACACCTGCAAACACCGAGACAGACAGGTCACAGCAATTTTTTTAACATAAAATATCTGAAGTGAAACGTTGCACGTTTCATTTTACTCTTTAGCTGTAATACAGTATTCATGTACCCAACACCAATCTACTTTGTAGGTCAGACAGTCCAGAGGGTGAAGAAAATACAAGGAAGCAGGCTGAGCGGTAAGTTGTACCAACAGAAGCATGACAGCTTTTTTTTATCCGGCATTCGCACTTGCTATATGTTACGATACTTCCCTTTGCTGGCGTTATGTCACTCAGTTTTCTTGTTTTTAACTGACAGGCCACGCAAGGTTCCAAGAGTAGCGGCCAGTGGTGCATCGTAAGAACTAAAGCTCTGATAATGTAACGAACATGTGTCTAAAGTAGGCATTGCTTTTTTTCAGTTCATCAAAGACAACCTCCCACATTGACATCGCAAGCGAATGCCTTCAACAACTGCGTGCCGTCAAAGCAGCACAGGAATCCAAGGAAGAGCACGACCTTCCGTTTTTTTTCGGCATGACATTGGCGCAACAGCTGCGCTTGTTAAACTCCCGCCAGCAGGTAGATGCTATAACAGCAATACAACAAGTCATGCAAAAAAAAATCAGTGAAGCAATGCTTGAACTCGAATTCGGCAATTAGCTTTAAAATGTTCTTTAAAATTGGACTTTTAAATTGGACTTTAAAGTGTTCTTTAAAATTGGACTTTTAAATTGGACTTTAAAGTGTTCTTTAAAATTGGACTTAAGCTTAATACTTGCTTTTTTGCAACACTGATTTTTTTTTCATGAAAGTACACAAAAGAAACTTGGATTGGATTTGCGAGATTTAACGTCCCAAAACCACCATATGATTATGAGAGACGCCGTAGAGGAGGGCTCCGGAAATTGCGACCACTTGGGGTTCTTTAACGTGCACCCAAATCTGAGCACACGGGCCTACAACATTTCCGGCTCCATCGGAAATGCAGCCGCCGCAGCCGGGATTTGAACCCGCGACCTGCATGTCAGCAGCCGAGTAACAAAATAAACTTGGTAAAGCAAGTGAAAAGATTTGTATTTCAGGAAAATATAAATTTCACTTTTCGAGTGGCATCTCCCCTAGTTGAAAAACAAGGAAGGAAGGAAAATAGGAGGAAAAGAACGGCAGGGAGGTTAACCAGCCTACAGGCAGCCGGTTTGTAACCCTGTGCATGAGAGGGTGATGTGGGAGATAAAAGATAGAGGGAAGCGAGATAAACACAGCACATTCGGCAGCACACGCACGCACACTCAGTCATTGTCTAGTCTTGTCATACACTTTTCATGCATATAGTTGAAAAACAATATGCATGAAAAGTGTATGTAGCAAGTGTTTTGTCGCAGCTTTGTAAGTTGAGTTGATTCTGTTGGGCAGGTTGCTTGATGTGTATTGTAAATTGTAAAGAGCAGACCTTGGGACATACAGCTGAACACCTCTAGCTTTCATCTTTGTTTGAAGTCAGTATTTTCCTGTTTTGTGCTGCAACATAATGCACACATTTTAAAACATCATGGCAGTTGTGTCTACGTTTACAGAACCGTTTTAGTGTTTCATCATAGACATCACGAGGAGGATCAGGTTGCTTCTCTGCTTGACTGTCATGATAACAATAAATGGTGCACTCACCACTGCACAGTCTTGTGTCCATTATCTTGCTCTCTTGCCAAGGCACCTTGCCGTTGGTGATGAAGTGCTTTGCCAGGAGGTCCCGCATTTCATAAGCAAACCTGGGAAAAAAATTTCTAGACAGTGAAATACACTATACCACAGTACTGCAAATTACGCTGCTCATATGGATGAGCTTTTATTGTGGCTAATGCTAGTGTATGGCTTACAATTTAAGGCCCACCGTGAACCTTGCCACATGAAAATATCTTTACCTTGTGGCGTGGCAGCCAGTCTTCGGTAGAGATGGCAGAGCAGCACTGCTGGTGTCATCAGCCCTCCAGTTGCCTTCGGTGATGTTACCCTGCCAGTCAACCTGATCAGCTGTCCCTGGAGGGCAGTAGGCGCACCGAGATGTTTCCGACTCTTTCATCATGAAATTGTGAAGGACCACGCATGCGGAGATAATTCGCCGGATGTTATCGTCTTTGGCTTTGAAAGGACGCCGCAGGATACGCCATCTTTGAGCCATTATGCCAAATGCATTTTCGATCACCCGACGGGCTCGGCTTAGGCGGTAATTGAAAATCCTTTTGCTGTGTGCCTCCGCAAAGGCGATAGGTTCGCAGTTGGTTTTTTCTCCTTGAGATGCCTCTTCAGGTGTTGAAGTGAGGAACGGTTGAAGACCTGCATAAATGGTTATCCCCGCACCTACATGAAAAACACGTCATCCTGATAGAGCTTCACAGTAACGCAGCACAGAACACATAGGCACACGATCAATGAACACATTGTGCCATGTTTTTGTTTCATGTTCATGAAAGTTGATCAAAAACAAACTTCCACAGAGAAAAGAAACGTACTTTCAAGGAGAAGCGCCAATATGTGGTGAAGTGCTTTAGTACCACTAACATAAACCAATCACTGCGTTTAGTTATGGCATCATGTTTCGGCTGCTTGTCACTATAGTGATTTCAGTGTACTGAACCGCCTCAGATTAATAGCACAGAGCAATGCACTCCAGTACTAAAAGAAATCAAAGGGGCAACTTGCTTTTCCGAGGATACGGCCGCATCAAGTAGGTCTTCAAAGGAAAAGCTTCATCTCCGACCAGGTAGAAAGGAATGCGGCCAATGTTCCCCAGTGGTGCATCAGGGGGAAATCCTTCATTCTTCGAAGAGATAATATGAGGCAGTTGGCTTTCGCTGAATACTCCACCATCTGAATTGCTCCCATGGTGCCCAATCTCCACATAAATGAACCTGAAAATGTTAAAACATTATTTCATCAAGCACTAGCATGCATGTCTTTTATGATTGTTTACATGCAGAGGCCAAAACAAATAGATAGCGACCGTCCATGCAAATACCACGGCCGCTGGAAGCTTTTTCATCCTGCAGTGGCCGTGCAACTACAAAGCCTGAAATGTAACACCAGCTTTTTAAAGGCTAAAAATTACAGGACTGCTTTTTCATAATTTTACGTGCATTTACATGCACATACTGCCACTTTCTACTTTCTGTTGCATCGAGAGTAAATAAACATGTACCTGTAGCAGGCGTCGCTCACAGCAAGCATCGATTTACTGAAGAAGTGTTTGTAGTTATAGTCCTCACTTCCCGATTTGGCAGGGCATTCGATGGCGATCATCAATTGCACCCACACAGTGGGGCATGTTCCAGCGTTCCTCAAACTCTTTTGCAATCTGATGGAATGAAAATATCGATAACGGCTTTTGTGGGAATAACACACGCATGTTTGTACAGCAAAAATTAAGGTAGACGTTGAACAGGCAAGCCAAATGTTCCAGGTGCAACGTATGCAACATGCATTTATAACGTAAATTTTACCTGTAGCCACTCGCCTGCACTTGATGGACGGGCAACGTATATAGGACCAAGTACATTCCAGAGCACCTGGCACACTGTCGACACAATATAGCACGCTGTCGAACGACATTTAAAAAGTTGAAAGATGAGCAACGAAGTGTTTACCCTGCAGCCAAGAATCTGAGAAGAAATAAATGTAGAAGCAAGGAGAGCGCACGTTTTCATGATGGTGCAGGATTTAAGTAATGAGAAAATGTTCATATTAAAAAAAACGTCACTCACAACATCCCCCTTTACGACATTTCGCCGGGTGGCTTTTTCCAGTTACGACTAGTTCTTAATGTTAATTAGCGAGACAAACCGAATGCCATGAAATGCATGCACGTACATAAACAATGACCCTTTGGCACTACGTAATAAAAAATCTATAGTAAACATTGCGTGTACCAAGCTAGCCGCATCTAACTGCGCGAAAAGTGTGAAATGCTCGCTCCTTACTTCACATTTCACAGCTACACTAAGCAAATGAATGCTCTGGACGATTCATAAGGCAACCTTACCTTAAAGTGTGTGCAAGTCGGTGCTCGGGACTGATTGCCTTCCGGAAGTTGGTGTCCTTTTTTTCAATATGATGTTTCACAAGGTGCAACAGCGTGTCGAAAGTACGTGGCGGCATCCTGATGTATCTACGGAGATACAAATGGCACTGCTTGAAGCGCTACAAAACACCTATGCACCCAAGGGCACCTAAGCGAACGTTGTAATCAGAGTTGAACTCACTCTCGGTAAAACTCCACGTCTCGATCTCGTAGAAGAGGTAGCAGTTTGTTGGCCTGACCAAGGTTGGCGCGTTCCTGCAAAGCAGGCCGGACCCACCAACGTCGCTGGCGTCGTCGTTGCTTCAGCGACGTTTTTTCTTCTTCTTCATGCATTGCAAGGCTGCTGCTTGCCAGAAGAGCTAGCAGCAGTGCTGCTTCTTGCTCTTTTGACAGCATAGCGGCTTAAGATAACAGTTTAACCGCGCAAACCAAAAAGATCGAGCTCGTCACGGGCACACTGGTGTTGCGAGCCGCTGACAACATCCGGGGAACGGCTGACCCGTTCCGCGCTCGCCCCGTAGTTTATTGTTCACTCGGCAGATGGCGCGCTATGGCTATATTCGGCGAATGCGGCGGCGTGGGGCGCATCCAGTGCGAACAACGCTGTGTTTCGGCGGCAGGAGAATTTCGGCCGCTGTAAAAAGCGGATGCTTCAGTGTGAACTAGGCATTAGAGACTCCGCGGCAACCATGGATGTTGTCCATCCTTCATTGGTGTCTCCGGACGACTTTACAGGAGAATGCGCGTGGATCAGGCAAGTCGCCGAGGAGCAGAGTGCTTGCTTACCAATCGCCACGGTTGTCATTGAAGGCCCGTTCGGTAAGCTTCGCACCGAAGCGGCTGTGTCTGCCGCGCTTCCCGATCGTTTTCCTTATCTCTTCTCCAACAACTCAGAGCAGCTTCTCAAAGAGCAGGGTAAATCGTTCTTCCCCAACTTAGCGTGCATGGCTCTCACGCGATCGCAAGCGCGGAAGCTATCGCGG